GCACTTGTTCCCAGTAGCTATTGTTACTACTAGTAAGGCACTTGTTCCTAGTAGCTTCTTGTTAGAACTGGTAAGGCACTTGTTCCTAGAGGCTTCTTGTTACTACTAGTAAGGCACTTGTTCCTAGTAGCTTCTTGTTACTACTAGTAAGGCACTTGTTCCTAGTAGCTTCTTGTTACTACTAGTAAGGCACTTGCTCCTAGTAGCATCTTGTTACTACTAGTAAGGCACTTGTTCCCAGTAGCTTCTTGTTACTACTTAGTAAGGCACTTGTTCCTAGTAGCTTCTTGTTACTACTTAGTAAGGCACTTGTTCCTAGTAGCTTCTTGTTACTACTAGTAAGGCACTTGTTCCTAGTAGCTTCTTGTTACTACTAGTAAGGCGCATGTTCCTAGTTGCTTCTTGTTACTACTAGTAAGGCACATGTTCCTAGTAGCTTCTTGTTACTACTAGTAAGGCACTTGTTCCTAGTAGCTTCTTGTTACTACTAGTCAGGCACTTGTTCCTAGTAGCTTCTTGTTCCTACCAGTAAGGCGCTTGCTCCTAGTAGCATCTTGTTACTACCAGTAAGGCACTTGCTCCTAGTAGCATCTTGTTACTACTAGTAAGGCACTTGTTCCCAGTAGCTTCTTGTTACTACTTAGTTAGGCACTTGTTCCCAGTAGGTATTGTTACTACTAGTAAGGCACTTGTTCCTAGAGGCTTCTTGTTACTACTAGTAAGGCACTGTTCCTAGTAGCTTCTTGTTACTACTTAGTAAGGCACTTGTTCCTAGTAGCTTCTTGTTAGTACTAGTAAGGCACTTGTTCCTAGCAGCTTCTTGTTAGTACTAGTAAGGTACTTGTTCCTAGAGGCTTCTTGTTACTACTAGTAAGGCACTTGTTCCTAGTAGCTTCTTGTTACTACTAGTAAGGCACTTGTTCCTAGTAGCTTCTTGTTACTACTAGTCAGGCACTTGTTCCTAGTAGCTTCTTGTTGCTACTAGTAAGGCACTTGTTCCTAGTAGCTTCTTGTTACTACTAGTAAGGCACTTGTTCCTAGTAGCTTCTTGTTACTACTAGTCAGGCACTTGTTACTAGAAGCGATGCACTTGTTCCTAGTATCTTATTGTTCTAGTCGTTTTCCTGAGGTGCTGGCCGAAATCTTGGCAGGTGGCTTTAAGCTGCCAAAGATTTCTTGAGCAACAGGCAAATTCCACAGCGTCTCCTTCTGACCGATAGTCACATGTAGGAAACCTGCAAGCTCTGCAGTTTCTGTGGATGAAACACAAAGCAAAAGGCCAAGCCACAGCTCTCCAAGCCATTTGGCTTTCGCAGCTCTTCAAGAAGTTGGACTGGAACCTAAACGATCCGTCCGATCTACGATCAATACCCGCTCCGTGCACTCCGATCAAGCGGTCAAGCGGCTCCACTGGAGAAGACAGCTGCCTCATCTACCGGGGAGCAAGCCAGTCTGGTTGGCCTAAGGACACCAAAAGATAGCATCATGCACCTTGCTACTAGTAGTTTCTTGTTACTAGTAGTGAGGCCGGGAGTTACTAGCGATGCACCTCGCGACTAGTAGCTTCTTGCTACTAGTAGCGATGCACCTTGCTACTAGTAGTTTCTTGCTACTAGTAGAAATGCACCTTGCTACTAGTAGTGTCTTGTTAGAGAGTTACTGGTAGTAATGCCAGGAGCTATAGTACCTTCTTGCTACTAGTAGCGATGCACCTGGCTACTAGTAGTTTCTTGACCTTGCTACTAGTAGATTGTCTTTACTAATAGTATCAGTATAAGTGCACCTTGCTACTAGTAGTGTATTGTTACTACTAGTAATCCCAGCAGCTACTAGTAGCTTCTTGCTACTAGTAGCGATGCACCTTCCTACTGGTAGTTTCTTGCTACTACTAGCGGTAATGCCAGGAGCTACTACTAGCTTCTTGCTACCCGTAGCGATGCACCTTGCTACTAGTAGCTTCTTGTTACTAGTAGTAGTAATGCCAGGAGCTACTAGTAGCTTCTTGCTACTAGCAGCGATGAACTTGGTACTAGTAGCTTCTTGCTACTAGTGGCGATGCACCTTGCTACTAGTAGCTTCTTGTTACTAGTAGTAATGCCAGGAGCTACTAGTAGCTTCTTGCTACTAGTAGCGATGCACCTTGCTACTGGTAGTTTCTTGCTACTACTAGCGGTAATGCCAGGAGCTACTAGTAGCTTCTTGCTACTAGTAATAGTAGCGATGCACCTTGCTGCTAGAAGTTTATGGTTACCAGTAGTAATGCCAGGAGCTACTAGTAGCTTCTTGCTACTATACCAATGCACCTTGCTACTAGTAGTTTCTTCTTACTATTACGAATGCCAGGAGCTACTAGCTTCTTGCTACTAGTAGCGATGCACCTTGCTACTAGTAGATTGTGTTTACTAGCAGTATAAGTGCACCTTGCTACTAGTAGTGTATTGTTACTAGTAGTAATGCCAGGAGCTACTAGTAGCTTCTTGCTACTAGTAGCGATGCACCTTGCTACTGGTAGTTTCTTGCTACTTACTAGCGGTAACGCCAGGAGCTACTAGTAGCTTCTTGCTACTAGTAGCGATGCACCTTGCTACTGGTAGCTTCTTGTTGCTAGTAGTATTGCCAGGAGCTACTAGTAGCTTCTTGCTACTAGTAGCGATGCACCTTGCTACTAGTAGCATCTTGTTACTAGTAGTATTGCCAGGAGCTACTAGTAGCTTCTTACTACTAGTAGCGATGCACCTTGATGCTAGTAGCTTCTTGTTACTAGCAGTAATGCCAGGAGCTACTAGTGGCTTCTTGCTACTAGTAGCGATGCACCTTGCTACTAGTAGGCTCTTATTACCAGTAGTAATGCCAGGAGCTACTAGTAGCTTCTGTTACTAGTAGCTTCTTGTTAGTAGTAGTATTGCCAGGAGCTACTATTAGCTTCTTGCTATTTGTAGCTATGCACCTTGCTACTAGTAGTTTCTTGTGACTAGTAGTAGCTTCTTGTTACTAGTAGCGATGCACCTTGCTACTAGTAGCTCTTTGTTACTAGTAGTAATGCCAGGAGCAACTAGTAGCTTCTTGCTACTAAGGCATCATGTCATCAATGTGAAGCTCTCTAGTAGCAAGTGCATGACCACACTTCAGACTTCCCATCACCACCAAGGCACTGGTCACCAATGAGGCCACCTTCAAAGTACCTCATGCTTCGAAAGTGTGCAATCTTCAATGTCAGTTTCATCAGTCGCAAAGTGCCTTGCTTGTCCTGAGACATGTCATTGATACTTGAAACATCTTCCAACCTTGTATCTTACCTGGCTTAAAGGAACTTAATGGGGTTCTCGTGCTTGATACTATACCGTGCACCCATTTTGGACAAGCAAGCTTGCACAACTGATTTTGGATGAGCCGCCCTTGGCGAGCACCTTCATCCCACGCAGCGAAAAACCTCTTGGAGGACCTCAAATACAACGAAACATTGCAAAAGTCCAAGCGGCGTTGGCAATCAGTTCAATTGGTATACTTTGTGATTTGCAGATACATGCAGTACCTACTGTCTACATGTATATCTCTCTGTATCCTCGTTCCCTCGAATTCGTGCTAAAAGGATCCAAAGGAGCTGTGATGCTGGAAAAGACCTGTCGAGACACAGGTCCAGCTCCGCTTCTTGGCGGTTGGCCCACAGGCTGCGGCGTCGAAGGGTCTTTTCCACCAAGGGCGGCACCCATCTGTGAAAAATTTGGACGTGAGATCTTCGCAAATTCTCAGAGCCCAGTCTCAAACTATCTCAAACTCCTGGCCTTTCAGAATTGATGATGGGCAGTCCCACCATGCTCGCGAGCTTTTCCTCCACGAACAAATACATTGGCTCGAAGATATAAATGCTGGAAAATCCTTGAGAAGGAGAATGCTTGTCAGAATCATGTAGCTCTCAAAGGCTTTTGCACTCATATGAAATGCTTGGAGGCTTCAAGGCCGAGCAAGGTGTGACCCAGCATCTTGAGTAAAACCATGCATTTGGGCAAGGCAACAATGTTTCAGATGCTGGCGCTTCAACACCGAGCTGCGGCTTCGTGCGGCTTGCGTGAGAAGCAAGGCTGCACCGCCAAGCGAATGCCCTAAAGTCAAAAGCAAAAATTGCAGAGAGTCAAAGAACCGGGTTGTGCCAACTTACTAGCGATGGCCTCCAACCTAATAGCGACGGCCTCCAACCTAATAGCGACGGCCTCGAACCTAATTGTAATGGCCTCCAACCTAATAGCGACGGCCTCCAACCTAATTGTAGTGGCCTCCAACCTAATAGCGACGGCCTCCAACCGAAATTGTTTATAGGCCTCCAACCTAATAGCGACGGCCTCCAACCTAATTGTAATGGCCTCCAACCTAATAGCGACGGCCTCCAACCTAAGTGTAATGGCCTCCAACCTAATAGCGACGGCCTCCAACCTAAGTGTAATGGCCTCCAACCTAATAGCGATGGTCTGAACTTGTCGTCCAGTACGTCAAACGGTACAAAGAACTTCAAGAGTATGGTCGCTATGCAGTGTCTGGACAGCACCTACTCCGACAATCTTGTCTGGCGCCTGACCGGCAAAGAGATGGAAGTGAAATCGCCAACAGAAGTGATTGTTACTAGTCGTTGTTACTACTAGTAAGGCACCTGTTACTACTAGCGTGGCACTTGTTACTAATAGCTTCTTGTTACTACTAGTAAGGCACCTGTTACTAATAGCTTGTCGTCATAGTTGAGATGAGAAGTCTTGCAGTTCCAAAGGGGTGGCTATGGCTGGCATATTCTTGCCGTAAATGAATGTTCTGGACACCCCTATCCTCCGTTAAGCACCGGTTTTGGAATCTCCTTTCATTTTTTCTTTCTTTCCTTCTTGTCTTGTCTTTTCTTTAATTTCTTTCTATGTTCTTCTTGTATTTTTGTTCTTTGTTCTTTCAATGCGTTTTTTAGACCATGAGACCGTTCTTTCTGTTTTTTCATGTTACCTTTAGGCCTGTGTCTATTTGTCGTTCTTTCTCAAGCCCTTTAGACCTTGTTTTTTTCTGTTCCTTTAGACTGAGTAGATGACTTCACTTCGTCCACTTTGGCCTCCGGCATCTCGGCCACGAAGTCATCCAGAACTTCTTCGACTTGACGCTTCCACTCCATCCAATCCACTTCCTCCAGCGAGGAAGTGAAGCCGAAAAAGAAACCGAAAACTGCTGAAATCCTCGATGCATCTCGATACACCATGGGGACCATACCGATACACCATACATTGTTCACCAAAGCCTGAGAGGTGCTCGACACATGACCTGCCTTTGAGCTCCGTGCTGCTGCCAGGCCATGGCCTTTTAAGTCTAAAGACAAGAGTTGCAAATCGCCCACTGACCAGCTCAAGACCTCGGAAGCGGACTAAGCGTCCGCGGTCGAAGCGTCGGTCTAAGCCAAGCTTCCGCTCTTCGATCGATAGTAGCGACCATTGCTCCTAGTAGCTTCTTGTTCCTAGTAGTAAGGCCAGGAGCCCCTAGTAGCGTCCTTGCTCCTAGTAGCGATGCCCTTTGCTCCTAGTAATGTAGACTCTTGATTAATCAACCCACCCCCCGGCCCCCCCCCTCAACAACCAGGGCCTCCAATATAATGTATAAGAAAACTAATCAAAGGACCAAAATGAAAAGAATCCTTATTAAAATCTTATTGGTCTTCTCTGGCAATATTAAAAATCAAAGGGAGTCAATGAAATCTCAAATTGAAGACATTTGGAATACTAAAGTAAAAGGAAATCAATAAAGTGGAAATGGAATTCTCAATATTTTAATGGAAATCTCAATCCAAAGACCTTCAAAAGCATCCAATCTCAATGGAAATCTTCAACTTTTCAAGAGCTTAGGTAAGTAAAGCATAGCAAAAGGAAAAGAAAGGGAATGAATACAAAGTTACTTAAAGCAAAATAGTTTTTAAGCTTGAAATCTCTAGACATTATTCTAGGGGCCCGCCCTAATTTAGTCAGAAAGCTGCTTGCTGGACTACCCCCTTTGCTTGAATGATGTGTTTGTTTTTCAATATTTTTGAATAAGGGATTTTGTAAAGAAAGTGTGCACTGACTTTTGGAAACTTTTGGAAAGCTTAAAGACTAAAGAGCTTAGGTAAGCAAAGCAAATCAAAAGGAAAAGAAAGGGAATGAATACAAGTTTACTTAAAGCAACATACGTTTTAAGCTTGAAATCTCTAGACATTATTCTAGGCCCCCCCCCAAATAACGTCAGAAAGCTGCTTGCTGGACTGCCCCGTTTGCTTGAAT